CAGTTGCGGTCTCGACTGGTCTTGAAATAAAATGCCGAGTCCTCAGAGCCCGAGACCGAGACCATCAAAAAATGGTCTTAAGACCGGTCTCGAGACTAAGACCAACTTCGAGTACCACAACACTGCATCCTGCTAAAGAGCCCCCTGGTGGTTGAAGAAAAATCCACATATAAGCCGCACCTGGCTATAAGCCAGGTTCAAAGCTTAGGAAAAAAGTGGAGGCTTATAGTCCGGAAAATATTGTATATGAAAAAAAATCTAAATGCTCTCTGGTATTGTTCAGGGGGCCGTACCAAATGTGGTACGGTCCCCTGTACTACATAAATATTCATTTATGTGGTACATTTACATTTACGTCAGTAAATGTAAATGTAAACATTTACAACAGTAAATCATAATCATTTACTGTTGTAAATGATTATTTTAGTAAGCTTTGCTCTCATGCAATGAGACTTACATGGAAGTTAGGGATGTGTTCTCTGTCCAGAGGTTTGGTGACGGACAGCTGGCCTGAGATTGGGTTGATGATGAAGATGCCAGTTGGAGGTTGGTCAGCACCAGGACCTGTCACACTGTAGCGCAGCATCCGGTTCTTATCCCGATCTGAACGAATCTACAGAACAGGCAACAGGAAGGGGAGCAAAAATAAGACCAGCTGAGGTTTTAAAGGCCTTAAGGTCTACAATATACTTTCTTAAGCCAAAACGAAACCATCCATGCCACCTTAAAAATTGTTCACTGATTTAAATAAGTTAACTTTCAAAGGGTATCTTGGATCCTAAGGTCTGAGGCAGTACCAAGTGGGCAGCCCATCAGATCCATCCTGATCCATAGCAGACTGATTCCCTGATACGCTGCTGTGTATCAAGCACTAAAATCCAGGAACTGCCGAACAGTGAGAAAGGAGCTGAAGCTCAGTGGTTCTTCCATCCTTGTATGAAACACTGAATAATGAGCAGCTCCTTTCCAGCTGCCCTACAGCCAGAGTGGTGATGCAGCATCTGGCAGCTGATTGGTTAGCCTCATCGGGAAGCAGCATTAACTTCAGTGCATGACAAGACGAACTAATGACGAAAGAATCACATTCATCTCCTACTCATAATGTATTGCCATTTACCCCGTCTGGGTCCTTTTGAATATTTTTGGAGCTTTTGATTTGTATATTTGCAAAACTGCACTAAAGTTATTTGTTTAGTGACTTCTTCTTTTTCTTTCATATCATATTCATATCCCCTTTAAACTACTACATATAGCAATCTGTGTGTCTCCTACATTTTATGTTTCATTGAATTTCAGTTTTTTTCTCTTTTGTTTCTCTATTGTTTAATCTAAAACCTTTTTTAAAATTTCATGGAGTTTTTCCACAAGGTGAGTATTTTTAACATATTGTAAATCTACCAATTTAGATGGGACACAAAACTAAAGTTAACCACTTTTTAATGACTTTGCAGAATAAAGTTATTTATATATATGGAATGGGGGAAATCCACTTTCATTTTTCTTAACAATAGAAACTGTCATAAACTTCAGAAAATGTGTGAATATTTGGAAGGGTGAGGACTGATAGTACTAACATGAATTTTATGGAAAATAAAAATAACTACAAGGGTTTCTATGCTTTCATACCGTTGCTCTACTCATCTTTCTCCAGGCAATTATTAATCACCTCGATACTAAAAACTTTCATTTAAAAGGATTTTTTTCCCCTTTGCTTAGCTGCTGACAGTCCATGAACAGATTTTTGACCTGGTGGCTGGCAAAGCAGATGACAATGCAAAGGTCAAAAAGGAAAAAAAAAAAAAAAAAAAAAAAGCTGCTGTAAGCTTTACTGAGTAAAAGCTAAAACTATTTTCCCCCTATATTTATATTTATATTTATGCTTATACTTCATCACAATCTTAATGTTCCTTGCTTTGTTTTAAAGCATCTTGTATTTCAGTTACTGCTGCTCACATATCCATCCATCCATCCATTTTCTGAACACCCTTGTCCCTCAGTGGGGTCGGGAGGGGTGCTGGTGCCTATCTCCAGCTAACGTTCCGGGCGAGACTGCTCACATATAAACAGTAGAAAATAAGAAAATTTTAAATTGTAGCAATTTTTCAAGGCAATCAAATAGCTATATTAACAGCTGTTAGCCATTTTTTGGTGTCAACTATTGGACTAAATGATTGAATGTTAAAGAAACACATCATATTGGCAGTTTAACAGACAGAGGTCTAATTAGTGTGAGGAAGAACCAGGCACAGCAACACAAAGTTCTGCTGCTCAACCTGTAAATGTATTTTCTTTCAGAAGAAAACTTAGGTGAAAATAAACAGGCTGTTAGACAGTACATATGATTTATTGCCAGGAGGCATTGTTACAACATAGGAAAATCAATTTAACAAAAAAGTCCTTATTTTTTGTGTAAATGTTATTTGTCTTGGTGTGTGTGTGTGTGTGTGTGTGTGTGTGTGTGTGTGTGTGTGTGTGTGTGTGCGCGTTTGTTTGTAATACCTTGTGGGGACGATTTTCCTGACATATACTACGTTGTGGGGACCAATTGCTCCTCGTGGGGACCGGAGCCTGGTCCCCGCGAGGGGAAACTCTGTTTTTGGGTCAGGGGTCAGATTTAGGGCTAAGGTATGAATTGAGTTTTGGATAGGGTTAGGTATGTGATGGTTAGGGTTAGGAAAAGGGTAAAGGTAAGGTTTAGGCTGTAGAAATGAATGGAAGTCAATGGAAAGTCCCCACAAAGATAGCCAGACAAACGTGTGTGTGTGTGTGTGTGTGTGTGTGTGTGTGCGCGTGCGTGTGTGTATGTGTATGTGTGTGTCTTACCCTGACTAGATCCTCTGGGAACTGCCCTCTTGAGTTCTCAGGAACGTTGATAGGCGGAATGACCCAGTCCCTCTTTACTCGCCTCATGGTGCCGTCGCCACCAACAACCACGCTACGCCATGGAAACAGGACCTCTGGCTGAGTCAGTGCTGTATCACCAGGCTTTACCTGCGGACAGTCAGCAAGGAAGAGTACACACTTAGCATCATGAGTGTGCACATGAATAGCAAGTGTAGACTCAGACAAACATGCTGACTCAGCTTATTTTTGACCTCATTTCCAAGGCCTGAATTACTGATCTTATTACAGTCTTAAGACTGTAATAAGATCATAAATGAGCAAATGATCATGTGCCACTGCAGCTGGCAGCTCTCTGAGAACCGCCTGCGACTATAATGAGACCTGAACTTACAGATCAAAATATTGCCCTTTTTCCACCAGCTCGGCTCGGCTCGGCTCGCTTTCAGAGCTATTCCACCAGCTTTTTTGGGGGGCTGACCCTGCTTTTTAGGGTCCTGCTTCGGAGCAGGGCAGCCGGGCCGGCCCTGGTTTGGTGGGTGACGCAAGTTTCGCTCCTGTTCTCTGATTGGCTGTGGGCTTGGACAGACAGAGCAGCAGAAGAAAAACGAAGGCGCAACGTTTGAAACTCACTGCAACACGGAAGTGATGGAAGATACAAACAAGCCGTGAACTAAAAGAAACAAGTGTTCTGTTTATCTATGCTACGTAAGTCCGTTGTACCTTGTGGTAATGCGCATGCGTACATCGATGCTACGTCACATACTGCTTACACAGCAGATTTCTTATAAATACGTCCTCCCTGTAGTAGTTTCATTTCATGTGTTTTATTTCATCAAAGATTACGGTAAGCTTTACTTAATTTATTTTATACCTGGCATTCATTAAGTTGCTGTACTACTTCATGTTTTTGTTTGGTGGTTAATTAGGACAAAATACATTGTTTTTGGGTTATTTTGTCCCTATATTTTAAAATATTTTAGTTTAATTACACTCCTTTTTTATTCTTAAGCTTTGCTAAAAAGATATTGGTAGCAATATATGTTGGATTGAAGCTGTGTAACAGCCGTGTAATATTAGTGTATATTAATCATACACTATCATTTCAGGTGCACAGTGACCTGTGCAGTTCGGTAAACACATTGTGGCTGCGCTGCATTTGATAAAGTCTGTCATACAACGTGTTAACGCGCAAAAAAGAGTTGCGTTGATCTGTATTTGTCTGTGTTTAATTTAATTCCAATAAAAACGTGTTTCCCCTGTCTGATACTGTTTTATTCTTAAAAACACCTTTGTATTTAAAATATTTTTTAACAGGTAGGATATTCTAGTAAAAGGATTAGTGCATACATCTATAGCTTTTCATTTTAAACCGGTAGGATATTCAGATGAAGGAAATGATCTTCATGTCGTTTCGTCGTGTATATAAATTGTCCCAGTGCTAAGCTAAGCATAACCCCTAAACTTCCACTTCAGTCCCGTCACTCAAGTAATGTTATCCAATATATTTAACATTAACACAACCCGCTGTAGTTTTCAGTTCATAAACATGACGGTAGGAGTTTTGGATTCGTAGTACTGACAGATAGACTTTAGCTATCTATCCGTGCTATGGTAGGAAAATCTGACGAGGTAGCACTGATAGTCAGAACACTCACTCCACACATTATTGTACATATTGTAGTTTGTTTGGCATCAAGGTACAATCCTCCCAAAATGTGAGGAGCTTTAGACAGAG